TCGATAGCTCAAAGTGATCAAAAGCTATTCGCAAAATACCCGTTGGTGCTATAAAAAAAAATCCGACATTAGTACTTGAAAACCAAATAAACCGTTACAATGAGAAAGCAATCATAAAAACTTCCAGATCAGTAACTAAAAAAAAATAATAAGTCGAGTAGTCGAAACACTTTTGACTTAGCAAAACAGCTTTAGCATTCATTTTCTTGAGATAAGGTTTAAATTTTCGATATTCTTGGTCAAACATGATTCGTTATAATTTCGAATGGAATAAATTGAATTCATTCAATTTAACGAGATAGATGTTGATCGACTTTGAGGTAGTTTTCCTAGGAACTTGATGGATTCTGGATGGATATAATTAACTGAATTTTTTTTTGTAAATTTTCATCAGACCATCAAGTCGTCGTTGGTATATCCAGAAAAAGTTTTTGATTCCAATGAGCATATTGGTACTGGTATGCATCATGGCAGTCATTCTTGGATCTATTCTGGGAACAAGACGTAGAAATAAAACATCAGGTATAGTTTTTAATATACTTTTACATCAGAAATATAGTCATGGTTCATTCTGAAAACTATGACTCACCGATTTCACATACGTCAATATTTTGTTGACATAAATTCGTAAAGATCACACATATTGTGTTTTCTGTGTAGTTGACTACTTTCTTCAAAAAGTTTGCTTTCGACATGATTCTCATTTGTAGCAAAAGTTTCATAAATGAAAACTATAGTGTAATTGCAATCGAGACAGAAATATCACCTTAATGTTTCATCCAGTTCCAGCTACTTTTGAAATAATGTGATTATTACTCATAACGAGCTCGTACCATAAAAATCCAGAAAAGAACTTTATTTCTTTGAACTATACACGGTTGGAAAAAGTTCATTCAGTTGATTACGAAGATTTAATTAAATGCTGTTATCAAGTTTTGATGTTATTATCTCATAAATATTAGTAAGATGTCAAAAAATGAAAATTTGATTATTTTTAAGAAGCCTACAGATTCTACTCATTCAAACTGAGCGAAACTATTTTAAACTACTATCCTTTGGTGGAAAACGTTTCTACTGTTATGGTGTATTATTTGAATCACCAATGAACACTAAATAATAACAAGTAGATGTTTTTTTCAAAATATTTATTTCTTTATTGAACAGTTCATTTTGCTAGAATCAAAAGATGTAACAGAAATGACATGTTCTATTGATTATTTCAAAGCAGTTTTCATTTAAGTTCTAACATTGACATATAGATGAAAAAGAACGATGTGCACTTTGATAAATATAATGAGGAATTTTTAACCGAATCTTCAATGAGATCCTAAAAAATTCTATCAAGCAAGAGGTGGAACAATCCATTTCTATTGTTTTTCAAAGTTTAGTTTATGAATGATAATAGAGATCGAACTGATTCTGTTCTCTGTAATGTTTGTTTCAATTCTTATAAAATCATTCAATATAGAGTCGAAGTTATGAACAAAAAATATAAGCCTACAGTGTTGTTTCAAGTCGCCAGCAACATGAATCTGCGATTAACTTGTTTCACAGAAGTTTTTTTGAGTTTTGATAGAAAATCTACTTCAAACTGCACTATTCATTGAATAGAAATTTAACATCTATAAAATCTTGTAAACAAAATCCAGAATATTGATTCCAGAAAGTCTGAAATGGGCGAGAAGTTTCATATGGATCACATCAGAACTTATATTTCTCTAATATTGCTTACTTACATGTGGATGTTAGAACAAAAACTGTAAGCGAATTCGAAACGATTGCGAGTGATTTTCGATGTAATATTCGAATTTCAAAACGTTCTAATATCTATGTTTCCATGCCTTTGTGAAGCTGACAATTCACAACTATAGATTATACTATTTGACAGAGTTCATCTAATTCTATCTGATAAAGTCAATTTTTCTATTATTCTATGCGGTCGAAAAAATCCTAAAACCATCTTCAAAATGTGGTTGATTTTACAAATGGGAAAGAATGATAATTTTTTCCTTCAAGAAAATATCTTTGTACTTCTTAAATTTTTTCTATATACTAGATCCAATAATCAATTGGGGTGGACAGAATTGGGCCATGTCCTGTGATTTTCGTGGGAATGATCTGTCTCAAGCCAACAGTTCAGCAGACAAGTGTGGTTCCGAATGTTTTGAAAAGAAGGAATGCACTCACTATACGTGGACCACGTTGAATGGTGGTACTTGTTGGATGAAAACGGGTAATGTCTCTAAGGCTGATGCATTCCTAACTAATGATACAACCATGGTCTGTGGTGTTAGAGACGATTTCCAGCCAGACGTATCGAATCTCCCCATCCAATGGAATGAAATGAATTGGGCCCGGTCCTGTAAGTTCTATGGGAATGGTCTGCCTTACATACGAATTCCATCAGAACTTTGCCCTGAAAAATGTGCTCAAACGAAGAAATGCACTCATTATACGTGGACAACGCTCAGTGGTGGTACTTGTTTGATGAAACAGGGTAATGTATCTAAAGATGATGCACGCTTCACTAATGATCCAACTATGATCTGTGGTATTGTAAATGGCACCCAGCAAGGTGTAACGAAATCTCCCATCCAATGGAATGAAACGAATTGGGCCATGTCCTGTGATTTTTATGATAATGATCTGAGTAATGTCAGAATTTCATCAAAACTTTGCCGTAGCACATGTGCTCAAACCCAACAATGCACTCATTATACGTGGACAACGTTCAGTGGTGGTACTTGTTGGATGAAAAAGGGTAATGTTTCCATAGATGATGCATTCTTCACTAATGATCCATACATGATGTGTGGTATAATAACGAGTGTAAAACATCGAGATACAAAACGTCTTTGACTTTTTTTTGTGTTTATCGCAACATTTTTCAATGTTCAAAGCGTATGATTCTACGTAAAAAGATGAGCACTTTTTTTGTAAATAGTTCGATTTCACATTAGCAAACATGCAATGTTTGGAAAATAAAAAATGAACTTAGAATACTTGTTTTCCAGCGGAACTCAAATCTACTTCATGAGCTTAACAATGATAGTTGATAAGTATGAAATGTTAATCTGATTAGAAACTACACTGATTAAGGTTAGGTTTTTTTACATTGATTCTCAAATTATGGCAATCAAATTGCATAATTTTTTCTTGGAACAGATTTTTGAAGGAATAGCTTAACTCATAACGAATCAATTGAAATTTTGGAAAATCTGTTGATTGCATATTCGGAAAGACTACTGGATTCTGATTCTATCTAAATATTTATCACTCTCATTGACTATGGTTAAGCAATTATGGCATGAATATATAGTTTATAGTAGAACTTCTTTTAACAACTATACAAGGAATTTGAAAACTGGGAGGTGATATCTTAGTGTCTTCATATATGATGATGCAAAACTCAGCAAACTACTCAGGATTACGAAGTACGACGCTCAATCGACTGTAATTCAAATAAAAGAAAGATTTCTCATTGAAGTTCTAAGTTACGAACATTCATACATTAAATCAATAGGTTTTTAAATAATAATATTCGACTGGGTGGTGTTTTAATATTTTGTAGCTAGATACAAAAACTTCATGACTTATGGTATACCACAAGTATCATCTTTTTCTTTAAGTGTTTTCTACAAACCTATCCATGTACATTGATTAAAATCCGTTATAAATTTATCATTGAAATTATTGCTGATTACAATTATATCCCTGCTTTGAAAATCCTTAAGCATACCTTGACTACACAGTGATTGCGTGTAGAATGATCAAAAAAAGTTTAAAATGGCTGTGACTGCTGGTTATTTCTTCACCAATGCGATAACTTCAAGTGAAAAGAGCTTGAAGAACGTTTTATCAATGGAAACTGTTAAGTGAAGTCTAGAATTTTTACTTGTATTGTATGACAATGAGTCGAATACACATTGGAATCGTAATAGTACCTTCTATGCTGGTTGAATTCTAAAGACGAAATGATGTTGACTATGCTATCAATAAGTTCATGTGTACTATCATAGCATAGTAGATAGACACATATTTCGTCAAATTTCAATTGTTGCTACAAAGTTCGAAATTGTTGATGATCATAAAATGATGTCTTCCAGTTGTTTTTCAAATGATCGGTCATCATCATGAACTTCATTTTATTATCTTGATTGATTCAACATGATTTTTAAACAATGCTCAATCATGATCAAGAACAATGCAACTATCATAATCAAGCTGAAATTTTCTAATCAACAGAGAATAAACTATCGTGAAGGTTATGGTATCGATGTGGTTCTTCTCTGAATACACATCTTCACTCTTACACTTATAGAAACCCTACCCGGTACGACATCCATCCTTGCTGACACCATAATACTCTCATACAGCCGCTCACAAGTTAGCACTCTTCATCATGCCTTTCTAAAAAGTATTCTCATTTTAAATTAAAGATCATTTTATACTTTTTTCTACAAATCTCTAGAAAATATTAGATAAGAAACGTGCTTAATGTGAGAGTTTTTGTAACCTTAATCTTGCTGCAGAATATTGTGGTAAGCATTGATATTTCTTGTTCTTGATTATTTAACATAGAGTCTATATTTATAAGGATAGCAACTGAATAACAAAGGGAACTTTGAGATCAACTATATTTCTATTGTTTCTAATTATTAGATCAAAATGCACTTTTCTCATGTTTGTTTATGTTGTCTACGTTAACTTTATTTTAATGTTAGAGATTTGGATTTTATTTTTTGTTACTCGAGATATGATGGTTAATAACATTATACCACAACGATTTTTCAAATAACACATGTTAATTTCTCTCATAATGTTTGCTTATTGAAAATTATATAAAAATCATGGTTATATTAAAGAATTGTTGATTTCATTTCATTTTAGAAAAAGAACATTCTGAATTAGAGGGTGTGAGTGTGGATGTGGGTGTGGGTGTGGGTGAGGGGGTAGGGCATGGGTGTGTGGTGTGGGTAGGTGGGTGTGGGCATGGGTATGCGGTGTGAGTGGGTGAATGTGGAGCAATAAAAGATGGATACCTATATCCACACCTACACCTACCAACACTCACACCCACACCCCACCCACCCACACCCACACCCGCACCCACACCCTATAACATAGGATAAGACCTTAATGATTCAAATGAAATAGATAGAAAGAAAAAGAATAGAATAAAATACTTACAAGTCCATAAAGCATCAGGTTTGTCTGGTGAGAAAAAATCAAGTGTAGCGAAGACTAAATAAACAAATTTTGACAAAAAAAATTGAAAATAAACAAAACAATCTACCTAATGTGATTTAAAATGTCATTGCAATTTGAACACCTTTACCAACAAGAGTAGACAAAAGTATAGATTTTTGTGGTGGACGAAATACATCACCATAAATTCTATCATTTGAAAATAAAACAGAATAAAAACAAAAATAACATTAGATTTTATAAAGAATAGATCAATATTCAATTTTTTTTGAATAAACTCTAACTGTAACTAACTCGGACATTTATTTTTCATATCTCTACGATTAGATCTTCATATCACTAATCAAAATCGTGAAGAAATTTTGATTATGAACTGTTTATAAATAAGAGATTCTTGAAAATTCAAAGAAAAGAGTTTGAAACGAAATTTTATTCATTAAGTGATGTTTCATTTTCTTTGTTGGAATTCGAAAATAATTTTCAAGATGTAGATGTTATTTCTTTATTATTTCTATTCAGCGACTAACACGCCTTAAATTATTCATATTAGATCTTATTATTTATCTGTGACATACATTTAATACCTGATTGTTTTACTAAAAGATTTTCGAACATTTTATATAACCATGAGATCTACATATAGACAAAGTGTTAACTTTAAATTTCTTTATCTATTTCTGAAAAGTTCTTTGCTGAATGTTGAAAATCGATATAAAAGATGATAAGTAGTCTCAGTTGAAAGTATATAGTTAAGTGAAGTATTAGTAGCAAAAGTCAGCAGTTTGAAAGATAATAAATCTACGAATCTTCGTATTCGAAATATTTTACTATACAGAAAGTATATAACCTCAACAATAATGTCAAAAAACTGACTTCTATGCAATACACGAGATCAAAATAAAGACATGAAATAGATAAATCCTTACAACTTCCATCCAAATTGTTCTTTTGCACTACCCTATAGAAAAATAAAACAATCATAAATATAGATTTTATTTCTTCGACTTACAGTACCAACTATTCGACTATAACGCGGATTATCTTTACATAATATACGTAAAAGAATAGTAGCAACTATACCCGAAAGAAATAAGACAACGACAAGCGAATTTAAAATTAAAAACCATTGATGAAGCATCTTGTAAGACACGTAGCAGTTTTTATGAGATCAATCTATACACATAATATATACAACTCTTTTCAATTGTTGAATCTCTACGAAGTACAGATGACAGGAGATGAAAAGGAAGTAAAAGTGCATTGGAAAAGAAAAAGTAAAGAATAAGAGGAATGAAAAAAAAAGAGTGCAATAGAAGCAAGGTAAATATACTTCATTTCATATATTGCAATCTGATAGACTTGTTTTTTTCTTTTTTTTCTCATCTCTTTTTATAAATCAAAACTATAAAAAAACACTGTTAGGAGAGCATTTTTTGTGAAACACGATCTGAAAGGAGTGTTGAAGTGTTTAGGGGCAGAAATTTGCACCCACCTCCCCCTCCCCCCCTCCCCCCCACAGACCGTGACAGAGAACCTGCAGAGACCATCACAGACCGTGACAGAACCTCCAGAGACCATCACAGGCCGTGACAGAGAACCTTAGAGAGCATCACAGACCGTGACAGAGAACCCCAAAGACCGTCACAGGCCGTGACAGAGAACCTCCAGACCCATCACAGACCGTGACAGAGAACCTACGGACCCATCACAGACCGTGACAGAGAATCCCAAAGACCATCACAGACCGTGACAGAGAACCTCCAGAGACTATCACAGACCGTGACAGAGAACCTCCAGAGACCATCACAGGCCGTGACAGAGAACCTTAGAGACCATCACAGACCGTGACAGAGAACCTCCAGAGACCATCACAGACCGTGACAGAGAACCTACGCACCCATCACAGACCGTGACAGAGAACCTTCGGACTCATCACAGACCGTGCCAGAGAACCTCCGGACCCATCACAGACCGTGACAGAGAACCTCCGGACCCATCACAGACCGTGACAGAGAACTCCAGAGACTATCACAGACCGTGACAGAGAACCTCTCGACCCATCACAGACCATGACAGAGAAACCTCAATATCCATCACAGACCGTGACAGAGAAACCAAATATCCATCAAAGACCGTGACAGAGAAACCCTAGTACCCATCACAGACCGTGATAGACAAACTCTATATTCATTATAGACCGTGACAGAGAGATTCTACATGCACTATTGATCGTGACAGAGAGACTCTGTATGCATCATAGACTATGGCACAGAGACTCTATATGTATGATAAGCTGTGGCAGAGACGCTCTATATGCATCATACACTGTGGCAGAGAGACTTCAGAGAACAAATATGGCTTGGATAGAAGAGCTCTATATCCATCACAAACTCTGAGAAAAAAAACCCAAAGAGCGATACGAATCATATTAGAAAGACTCCGTAGAGCAGGTCTGATCATTACAGACAACCTATATCAGCATCACGACCAGTAACAGAACGTTACAAAGATTCTTGCAGACAGGATAAGTGATCTCTGTTAATAGCACAGAGCACCGAAAATACTCTATAACGACAGTTAGATTCTGTATATAAGTCTCTTTATCGATTTGGTGTTCTCAATTGTTTCATTCTGCGAAAATCAATATCAAGTTGGCATTTCAATGCAAAATAAAAACACAAGGTTTTGAGTATATGTTTTATAATAAATGAAAGTAAATAATAAATAATAAACTGAAAAATTAGGTTAATGAATTACGATGAAAAAAAATATATCTCGTATTATTTATAGTGTCATAGTTTTTAATTTGATCAGTAGTTTTAGCTGCTGTGTTTGTTTGTATTTGACTATTTTGGTTGCAATTATTCTGCTTTTGTTTTTTATATTTATATGATTGATACTTTCGATCCTTTTCTAGTCGTGATGTTCTTTTTTCTATTGATTGATTAAGTCGATAACGTCGTTGTCGTTTTTTATTCGTTTGACGAGTTTTAATTAATGATTCTGTCTTTTGTATGGTTTGGTTTTTCGACAAAACATTATAACGTGTATGTAAACGGTAATCATTTTTTTGATTTCGCATCCTGCTTCTATACGCTTCAGGATAATCATTTTTTTGTGAAACACGATCTGAAAGGAGTGTTGAAGTGTTTAGGGGCAAAAATTTGCATCCACCCCCCCCCTCCCCCCCACAGACCGTGACAGAGGAACCAAATACCCATCACAGACCGTGACAGAGGAACCAAATACCCATCACAGACCGTGACAGAGG